TTTATGAAAATGAAGGGAAGAAAAGTTTCACTTCCTCTGGATCCAAAATCTTGAATCTCCTTGTTTCTGGAGAAACTATGAAACTTTGAAAATCACACAGATAAGACGACATACTAACCTACGACTTTTTTTCATATTTTAGACGACATACCAAACAAAGCAAAGATGTTTCACGTTTGTTTCAAGAACCTTCTCCGTCTAAAACCTGTGGCAGTTCTCAACACTACAGCTGGAACTAACTTGCATCCTTTATGTTCCAGTGAATGTTCCATTAAAAAAAAAACAAGAACCTTCTGCATCCAAAACCTGTCACAGCTCCTTTGCTTTTGTGCCTATTGTGCATTAATGATATTCTGATTAAAACATGTATCTTGTCCCTGCAGGAAGCTGCTGCAGAGGTCAACCGTCACTATTTTAAAGAAACACATCAATTGCTACCCTCAGCTGGAAGATGCATGACACGACATGCGAGGCAACATCTTACTTGCCACCAGCTTTGTCTGTTCCAAATGAGTCTTTCTGGATTTCTGTCATTGAGAAGTTAAATGTGGAGTTCGGCCTCTCGAGGATCCTTTAAAATACTTTTTCTCATTTGGATGTGAATGTGGTTTCCAACCTTTTTGGCTTGAGGCTGCTTAAAATTAATCAAATTGTACTTGTGACCCCTCTTCACAGTTTGAGGTCATGAATTGGGAGCAGTTTAAAAGGGGAAAATGTCCAGTCAGCAAAAATAAGGAGTGACACCTACACCTACATAACTTTTGGCTTCCAGTCCCTGGGAATCAGTCATGAGCAGTATTTACAGTATGAGTATATGAGACTGTCATCAAAGTCACAATGTTGTGATGTAATAAAAGTTAACATGATAAATATTATTCTTATATAATAACTGTTGCCCCAAAATCAATTGTCCTTATAGAAACAAAAGTGGGCCATAAAGTGGGCTAAAGGAAAACGAGGCAACAAAGTGAGGAAACCAGGTTATTCATTCCCCAATTTGGCCACAATCAGCCCTGTTAAAAACTGGATCACTTCAATGATTACCTTCCCTCATGTTGATAATGAACAGCCTTGGGCATGGCAAAGAAAAGCAACACGTCTCGCCGGCTCCCAACCTTCCTGCTACAAACACACTTTTCCAAGCTGAAAGTATCAATATCACTCTGATTGTAGAAAGAAGTGTGAGTGAATCAATTCATTACAACAGAAAATAGGTAAAGAAATCAGAGACATCACTGAACTGTGGTTTAACAAATCATCTTTATTTAATGTAGAGACCAAAACATTCATTAAAAACGTACCTGTGAATTCACACATTGATGAAACTCAAAATTGCAGTGTGTGTTTTGAGTGTGTGTGTGTGTGTTACCTATTCCTTGGCCGCGTCACTGGAGGCAGTGCACAAACAGGACCTGAAAGAGATAAGAATGAAGAACATTTAAAACGTGTTCTCTAACACTGAGCACACAACTAAAGGTGACATTTCATTTATCACATTTCCCAGATCCGGAATCCAGATGTTTTTTTTTTTTAGAAATATGCACAGATGTTTGACAGCTGCAGCCAACACACACAAACAGGATAGTAATTGTCTTTTGAGCAAAAACTGTGTGACCTGCAGCAGAAAATATTTTGATGTAGTTTTTGAAATATATGACACATTTCAGTGTGGCTTTAAAGTAACCCCCATTCAAAGTAGGAGTTTGATCTGAGCAACATTATGTGAATATTACTGGTACATTTCCCCTATAGTGGGACTAATGAAGGATTATCTTATCTTATTATGCCAGTGACCTTTTAGTTTCTGTCCTTAAGTCGCCACAAAGATAAATCCACAACCATAAAGAAATCAATTGAGGCAGACAGGGAAGTTAAGAAACCTTTTTTTTTTATTAATCGATACATATCATTTATGTGTGTATATATCAGGCTCATACAGCTATCAGGTTTGATTTTGTACCGCAAATCACAGTTTCTATACACAGTACACATCACAGTTAAGAGATCAGTCACCATATTCAGATTGCAGGTTTCAGTAAAACATAAAGGCATTGTTGTGTAAGTGATCACAGAGTAGATATTTGTCTTTTGCCATATCAATAATGATCAGGACAGGGAAGGTGATTACCTTCATCTACTGACGGTTTCTAACCTAACTCCTACATGAAATACTAATACATATATATATATATATATATATATATATATATATATATATATATATATATTGAGAGAGAGAGATTCTATTGCTCAAGTGCTTCTTTTTTAAGAAGCCAGGTTGCACCTTATCCTATTAGCTCATAGGCAAACATTTCAAATGAATATACAAGAATACATGGGCATATACATACAGCAAAATATATTTACATTAGTGATCAAGGTCTGTTTTGTAAACTGAAGTAAAACCTGGTAAATTGTGGTCAAAATGTCTAATTACTGTTCAAGACTATAGACTGTATATAATGTAGAGAGGATGGGACGTGGACCAACTTAAAATACAAAGTATAGGTGAAAAATGTTTTCTTCAAGTTGGTTTCTGTCTTTTTAAGTTCTTATGTTATGTTCTATGTTCAACTGCAAATTGTTCTGCTAAGTTTGGTTTTAATTAGTTTTTTGATGCTGTAAAAACAGGATGTAGCGTCATGATTGATAGCTGATGTGTAATGTTGCCATGGAGTCTTATATATTGTTTGCTGAATTAGCTTTTGCCACTTCCTAGGTGCAGTGGATGACAATGAATGTACAGACAACTGTCACTGTCATACTGTCAGTCTCAAAAAAACAAACGTAATGATTCTCAGGCAGGTTCTGGAGTGATAAGCGGGGACTTTTTCAAATCTCAGTTTGAAAAGCTCTGATATAGGTGAACATATTTGCACATATCAGCTGTAAACCTCTTTTTCTGTACCACAGTATTCACCATTCACAGTCACATAACACCTTAACGGAGAAACGACTTAGTCAAAAACAACATAACACTGTGTTCCAAACGTAAACTGTTAAACACAGATATCTGTGTTTAACAATGAAGTATATCTGGCTGGACTTCTTTAACTCGTAGTTGCCTTTTGCCTCATAGGAAGAGTGTGATTAGTAGTCAACTAATAATCTGTTATCCTGTGACTCGTCGATAATCCCTGATCATTATTATGGATCATTACCAGAGCAGCTTCTTAGATCAGCACTGTCACTGTCACCTCACCAACAACCAAGTCCACATATGCATTAGATGAACACATACAAAAATAAACCTACAAGACTACTTCAAAAGGCTCAGAGAGTTAGGTTAATAATAAGAAAAAAATAAAAGCACAGTAGAGTGTGGCCACTTTGTTTTGATTGTCTTGAGTTTGGTTTACTAGTCATGGCTTTCAGCAATCTTGGGGCAGGTATTGGAAAATGAGGGAGGGGGTTAGGAGAAGTCCCACACAGCCTCAGGAGTGTCGGCGGTGGGCATTGTCAGAGCGTGGCAGGACGGACCGGGGGGGCAGGATACTGGAGGCTCCTCGGGGCTGGTGAGTGGCACCGCTGGGTACATGAGGCTGAGGAAGGAGTCTCTTCTGTGCCTCTTCACCTGTCGTAGAACAACAAAACACTGCTTAAACACTGGCAGGACACAATGTAATGCTGTTGCCGATGTTAATGTGACGTCAGCCCTCATCACTGACATTATTTTGTATATATTCTGACCAACCTTTTGTGTAATCAAGTGTGTGTCTGTTCACACCTGACATTAAAATGCACCCTGACTGTGATCAGATCTCACTTTCCAGTTCTATATGAAATTCCAACAAATTTGTGTTAGTAACTTAAACTAACTGAAAGAATCTCAGGACGCAATAAAGATGCATTTGAGTGCGTTCAGAAGTTAGCACTTACCACCTGTGATTAGATCGACCTGTGATACAAATTGTTATCTTGGAAATAGACTTACCCTTCTGATTGAGACCCTACTTAGTTTATATGTTGGACCAGTACATCTTTCTGGCCTGTAGGTGTCACTAGGGGTCAATGGATAGCCACAATACTTATAAGAAACCCTATGTCGTTGGTCACCATGAATGTTTGTAATGAAATGCATTAGAATGCATATATGGTTTTGTCAAATATTTCACTCTGGAGCACGATGACTGATTGACTTGTTGTCAGTCAAACAAGGATCATTCCAAATAAAATTCCAAAGACAAGACAGCTAGGAAACCCACCTGCTTGAAGAAGGCGTGGGTCAACAGTGCAGAAGCTGATGGTCTATAGAAGAGAAAGACATGGTGAATGCTGTCAGATGTATATCTATGTGTTCATAGAAGATCCATTGTCAAATTAAGTTGACTTCCTTTAAAATAACGACCTGCGCTCAGGCTGCTGCTGCAGACACAGCTGGACCAGATTGTGCAGGGTGGCCGAGTGGTTTTTGGGTCCAGGGCTCTGAGGTCGGTCAGAGGGAGGAGCAGTGGCGCTGTGTGTCAGGCTTCCCGTGGCCACACTCTCCCCAATGCCAGAGTCCACCCCAGACCGTGACACCTTCAGGCCCCCCAGCTCACCCAGTGGGAAGGGGGCCACATCAAGCAAGCAGCAGTGGGAGCCGCGTAGCTTCTGAAGCAGCATCTGAACAGAGAACAAGTGTCCATTTTAGAGTGAACTGACAATTAATTATGCACATGCTGAATTTTTGTAGGACAGTTTTTTTCATTACCTGAGTGGGTGGCATGTCCTGAAAAGGCACCCTGCCACTGACCAGTTCACAGGCAACGATACCTAAACTGTAGATATCTGACTTGACTCCGTAACCATGCAGGTCCTACTGAGGAAAATGGTGAGAGGAGCAACAGAACAAAAAAAAATAAGGCTGAAAAAACAGACACTACAATATTGTTCCTGTGTAACTGCACAACTGTTATTTCATTACAGATACATGGAACTTCTAGATACACTTTGGAATTTGAATTCAGGGAGTCCTGACCTGTCGCAGTAGTTCAGGGCTGAGCCAGGGCAGAAGGGCAGGGCTGTGATGGGGCATATCAAACACCGCCCTCATCCTCTTTCCCTCACGCATCATACTGTAAACACTGTGGAGCCCTGAGAGGTATACACGCCCCTTCCCTGACAGCAGGATATGACTGGCCTTCACGCCCCTGAAAAAAAAATACAGGTGCTAAATAACAAATACTTTTTTAGAGCTTCTCTTTCTCTCCAATCTCTTACTGACCGGTGAACATAGCCCATCCGATGCAGGTATTCCAACGCTTTCAGTACACCATACAGCAAGTAAGCTATCAGGGATTCACTCATTCCATCAGGGAAATATGTCCTCAGTAAGGTGTCAGCAGAGCCTGCAGGCAAGAGGAGACCGAAAAAGATAGAGCTGAGCAAGGAGAGTTTTCAAAGAGAATATGCAGTGATCCTTCTTATGAAGAAGTGGTGCTACTGTACCTTTAATCTAAACAGTACAATGTTTCATGATCACTTGACTGTGCAGCACCAGCATTTAAAAAACCTTTTAATGACTTGAGTACAAATAGAATTACTGCCCTGTGGTTGTATGCCTCTCACCATTATAAAATTATTTGCTGACTAATTCTTAATGGTGCAGTTCTTGTAAATCCCATGGATATTTTAAGGACAAAAGATAATTAACTGTGGAGGAAACAGGGAGAGCACCTTCACCTGGACCAGAGGATCAATCAGCGCAGGTGCTACCTCCACACTAACTATATAAAAGGTACTAGCAGTTGCTGACCATAGGCCATGAGCGGTGTTAGGACCCACAGTTGGCAGCAAGAGCTGAAAACCAGCCGAGAGGTCAGCAGGTTTTGGTGGCGTAAAAACCTGGACAGCAGAACCTCGTTCTGGGGATGAAAAGGAAATTAGACAAAACACACACCAGAGCAAAGTGTAGCTTTTAGAACCATATGTGCTCAGAAAAGATATGTCAGTTTGTGGAGAGCAGCTCACCATAAGCTGCAGCAGCTCCTCTTCGGTGCACTCATCCAGGTTGGTTTGTTTGACAGCCACCAGCTGGCCAGTCGGGATGTGCCGTGCCATGCTCACCTGGCTCAGGTTATTGAAGCCCCTACCTGCAACACGGTGAATGGGACTGAGGTGAAATCTCACTCTTGTCAAGAAAATTTAGGGAGATGGTGCAAGTTGATCTCTTTGCAGTTTCCTTGGCTGATGTAAATGTCTGACCCAAGTGTGTGGTGCTCTCACCAAGCTCAGACAGTAGCTGGTAGTGGGTTGGCTCAGTCGACAGTACTGTGATGTCATCGCCACCTGCTGGTCCTTGCAGAGTGTATTCAGACCCGTCACAGCTCTGCAGGGACATACACACCCACATACCTCCATGATGCATGTATCTCAAAGGTAATGAAAAATAAAGTAACACAATTGTGTGGTATGGAAGTGAATCAAATATGTACACATTTCAACTGATTAGGTGATTTATGTCAGGCTCTGTTAATGACAGGTAGGAAGTCCATCTATGTTGCCAAACACGCTTAATCTGCATGGGGCTGTTTCAGACCACCATCAATTTGCAATTTAGATTGTAAACAGGCAGGGCAGGGGTGGATTAGGCCGACTTGGCATTAAGAGATCTGATCACAAGTAATCAAGTGTGTGTCTGTTCACACCTGACATTAAAATGCGCCCTGACTGTGATCAGATCTCACTTTCCAGTTCTATATGAAATTCCAACAAATTTGTGTTAGTAACTTAAACTAACTGAAAGAATCTCAGAACGCAATAAAGATGCATTTGAGTGCGTTCAGAAGTTAGCACTTACCACCTGTGATTAGATCGCTCAGGACTGATGTTAATACCGAGTATTGATGGATTCAGACAGATCAAAGCAGTTTTAGTGCTACAGACAGGAGTCTAGTTCTCTTTGTGTCTGACTGACATGCACACATGTACACCAACACTGAGTTGTGTGGCCTTTAATTGTTTCTGCATTTTGTCACACGATAGCAGTACATTAATTATTCCTAAGAATAATAATTACTAAATATTATAGACTTCAGTATTAATGGTTACATTTAATGAGGGATGATATGAGAGGCAAAACTGAAAATGTTTTTCATGCAGACTCATATTTTAAGGGGGCATGTTTATGAAGATCAGCTTAGTGATCATGTTAAGTGCTACCCAGCCAGTGGTGCTTGACTGAAAAGATAATCCATGATGATGTGAGGGGTTGACACTTTATTTCATTACAAAAAAGTCCAGTCATTAACTGGGAATACTCTAATAAAATAAAGTATCAAATAGCATTGCTGGAATTGTAGGGATGCAGAGTTTAAAAAATACTAGACATTGAAATCAGGGTACCTAGGCCTGTGCTGCACCAAATTTGATCACTCTTATTTTAATATGTCTCTTGTGGGTCCCCAGACTTTATGGGAGTGCAATGCTAACTTGCTAGAGTATCCCTATGGGTGCTCTTCCAGAGGTAACTGTCTCAAACGATGTTGAGAGCTGATAAATGACCAATGAAAAGGGATGATATGATGGAAGAGCATCAGTGTGACCCCTGTCTCCATGCTGACAGTGTCTTGGGTACTGACCAGGAACTGGTGGTTGGTGTCCTCATACTGCTCCTCTATGTCTATAGGCTGGACCTGAGCGTGGGAGATGCAGGAACAGTCCTGGTGGAGGGGAGGGAGGAACACAAGTGAGACTTGCTCTGCAGGATGAGGGGGGAGTGGTGAGGAAAATGTGGAGCCTGGGAGACAGGTGAAGCAAGCATCAGGGCTGTGAAAGAACTCACATGGCACTTTATCAAAAGTGGTGAGTGAGGGAGGATTTGAGTGATGATAACAGGCAACAAAGAGACATCTGAGAGACCGATGTGTCCCAGCAGAAAACAACAGATCAATAGATAGATACAGCTCATACAGCTCAGTAATTTAAAATATAAATGTGAATCATAATGTGAGACTGATTGCTTTGATATCAAGAAAAAATATTGGTATATCGGCATCTCTATCGGAAAGCTCCTAATTTTCACTACATTTCAGTAGTATTCTGACTTTATTATGTCCCACAAAGGGGGTGTCATCATCAGCATGAGCCATCTGCTTCGTGACTAGATATCTACTGGGTCCAAGTGAAGCGACAAGCACAGAGACACAAAGAAGCGAGAGGCCTGATAAGCGTGGTGCTGGAGTCCTTACCAAGAAAGACATGGAGTCCGGTGAAGGGTTTGGCATTCATCCAATCTCAGGCTGCAAGGAGATGGGGGGAGGCAGGAGGATGAGGCGCAGTAGAGTAACATGAGACACCCACCACCACCACCATCATCATCATCATCATACACATGGACGCACATAAATAGCTGGACTAGAAAGCAGCCAGCATCCACCCAAACACAGCCATTCATCCGTCCGTCTGAAACTCACCTAGCTGCATCAGACAGGAACCCACAGAGATCTAGGTCCAGACGAGTCAGTGCAGGTTTTAACATTGGGAGGAAAACAGTCGTGAAGTCTGGAAAACATGTTTACTTACACTACTACCGGAGCTACAGTCATATTTCACTGTATCCAATCGAATCTTTATGGACTGAAAAAAGCTCAGGTTGATCACTGTCTAAAACAATAGCAAAGATTTCGCAACACAATATTGAAATTCAATTCCACTTCAAGGTTACCTGCAGCCCTTTTTAATGTAACCAGAGCACAACTATTAATCCTTAATATCGGTTTAGGACACTGCTAGAAAACCACAAAGAGGACAAACATTTCATTTTGCATTAGTATATTATATTTTAACTTAAAAGACAGGGCACGCTAAACACTCGTAGGTTTCTATTCACAAGCTAAACTCACTGACGTAGCTATCTGCATATGCCTGGTCCAAACATTAAGCTAACGTTAGCTCAGCACCAAACAGGGTTTTACGTTTGTTGTGCTAATTTAAAATTAGCCGACACAAGAAGAGGCTGCTCACCAGTCTCCAGTTCGACGGGCGCCCCGACGTAAACAAGTTAAAAATACAACGAAGAGCCTGAAAACCAAAACAACTCTTCGTTTACAAAGTTCATCGTCTGTCTTTGGTGTCAAAATCAAACCGAGTGGGATCAAACGCGTCGGGTTGTTGTTGTCAGCAACGAACAGCAGATTGTTCAAAATCGAAGATAGAAGCTTTTTAGAGAGGACTTTTAATTTGACACAGACTACTGGCGATTAATACATACGTCATCAGACCAAGCGTCGCGCTTTGGTGATTCGCAGGAGCTGTTTCCCGTCTCCCACCCTAACCCTCCATTGTTTGAGGCTGTTCTGAGGCGAGGGACTCAGGTTGGCGTCTCATGTCGTCCTCATGCTGTGGATTATTATCGACATAGGGTAAGATTCATGATAATCGATAATATTAATTGATTTCCACCAATATTCAGCGCGCGAGGGATGCTGCCGACATGAGCTCGCCCTATGGTGTTGTGTTGTGTTAGCCTCCGCGTTGCTAACAAACGGGGAAGCTGTCATCCTCACCCACAGGAAAACACGACAACCCGCAGCCGACCCTCAAAACTTAATGAATAATTATATCATTATATTAAATGTACTTGTTAGTGGACAGGCATCGAGCTAACTCGGCTACTGAGCTGTGAGTTTACGCCACATTGCAAATGTTAGCTGGTTCATGAAAACATTGTTTAGGGTTAGCTCACATAACACATTTAAACATCAGTGGTGCATGATAGCATCCATATGACAACCATTATATCTATATATGAGAGATAAATATGTGAAGTTTATGTTTCCTGTATACCACGATGACAGTAATGATCGTGATAGCAATATAACGCAATTCCATAGTATATCATGTAATACTTAGGCATTGTGCAAGAACACAACATATATACTTAATCCTCAGATTTATTAAATGTTTTGCTGTTTTTCATTCTCTGTCCACAAAGAAGAGTTGAAAACCACAAGTCCTTCACTCAGGCACAAAGGGGTTAGTTGTTTTAGGTGTTAGCTTCCAGTTTGATCAGATGTTGTATGTTGTCTGTTCTGTTGTGAAGACATGACTTATAATCTCCTGCTGATGTGACAGTCAGAGGTCTGTGATTGTGCTTTTAAAATAACGCGGTCCAGTCAGTCACATGCTGCCTGTCATGTTTTTTTCCCTTGGAGCAAGAAGCCTGCAGGCATTGTCTAGCTTGTCACATCTAAGATGGGCTTAGTACAGATGCTGGGATGAAGCACAAATGGAGACACTGAAGCAAGTAAATAACAGGGATAAAACACACACAAAAACAAAGAAAGATATCTTTCCTTTGTTTCAGGTGTGGATGGAAGCATATCTTGTATTTTTTGGCTTTAAATTATTTGTTTTGACCTCAGCTTGTACCTCAGATACTGACATTTACACAGCCGCACTGGTTGTTGGTCACTCTGGATAAGAGCATCAGCTGGATGTTTAGATAAGACATGAAGTCTGCAAAAAGCTGAAGTAAGGAGACGGGCCCTCTGGGACAACTGGGAGAGACTAGTGTTGTGTGTAATCCTGCTGCTGTCTGTATTTCACAATAACCTTGCAGAGCTTCACTTGGTTTTTTCAAGAACTAAGTGAACATTTTTGAGATCTTGGCCAGAAGTTTCTCCTGTTTCTCTAAACCAACGGAAGTTGTGTCTTCACAGTCATCAATGTTGAACACAAATCAATTTAATACTATTTTAAATGTAGTTTATAATTTGAGTGTTTATGAAGTTAATGAGGTGTATCTCTATTTTGCTTTCCTAAGATACCAATTTCCAAAATGTTTACTTCCATTATGAGAAGACAGCTATATCATAAAGGTAGGTGTCTGGCTTAGACAGTGTTACTCATGGTATCAGTCACCAGCATTTGGACAAGAGGACAAGATTAGCTCTTGTATTTCAACAAAAGGAAAAGAAGCAGCATAAATCTGGAATATGTTTGTGTGGTGAATATCAGTGGATGTAGAATATTTTCTCTTGCCTCATACTAATGATTAATACATGTAGAATGATGTGTATACACTTGATCCAAGGCCTTGTGTGAATGATACCACTAATCCAACATCATGCAGTCAATACAAGTGTCATTAATGGGTCAGTCCAGTAGATCTGCCAGGCTTTTGTGGTAAACAGCACATTGAGGCTGCAGCATGCGTGCATCCCAGTAATCTCCTTTATAGAGCAAGCAGTTTTAGCTTCACTGTTATGTAAGCAGAGGATGAATGTTGCCCAAGGACTCTGTCTTTCCACAGGCATGCTCACTGATACACACACACCCACACAGCATGTGTGTGCAGGGGATTGAGCACTTAGGAAAGAGACAAAAAATGAAACATTCTGCTTAGTGCAGTACAGTTAAGGCCAGCACATGCTGATCAATGGTAATTTTCCCAGTTCTCCAACAGGAATTGATCCCTTTATGAGCACATCCTGTCTCATTCCTTCACTCATCCCTATATGCCTAGACCAGTCCCCACGGAGATAAGCAACAGGAAATGTGGGAGGGCTCAGTGTCACCCCTTGTCCTCTCATAGAACAGTATCGGGCACTTCAGAATGAAATGAAAATGCATGAGAATTACAGTATAGCAGCTGGCTTGCTTTTGTGACCTTGTCAAATGTTTAAAAAAGGGGATTTTCTTTGGGAATTCCTAAAGAAGACATCAGACGGTTAGTGTAACAGTAACTGCTATTGAATCTGGTTTTAAATGTCAGCAACCGAGTGGGAGGTAGAAAAGAGGCAGAGCATCAGAGGAAAGAGACGGATGTCAGACATCCTCCATGCACAAACATATACTAATGATGAACAAACAAATTAAACCAAGTTGACATGCCGTGTGTATAATTTGTCTTATTATCTTTTTTCAATGACAAAATTGCATTATCTGTCTAATATCTTTAATCGTCTGTTACAGGTAAAGGTGTGGTTGTGTGTGTGTGGGCACCACCCATCAGTGCAGGATCAGGATGTGATATCACGCCCATAGCCCCGCCCGTCTTTCTATCCAGCTTTGTTTTTTGCAAGAGGCGAGGACCCTCTCGCTCCAAGGACAGGACATGTTTGAGGTGAAACCTCGGGCGGTGGAGAAGAAGGAGTCGAGCACAGAGACAGGTAGGGGTGGAGTCGTGTTGTGTGTGTCACATATCAAATATATGGTAATACAACAATGCAGCATAATCAGTGACACATCTTTCACTGAAAGTCACTGATGCTATAGTTAGCCCCCATCTATCACGGTAAACCACATATTTTTTGACACAGGATTCAAAGGTGCCTTCCAAAATGTAAGAGAGAGAGTAGCATAATAATGCAGTGCTGCTAAAGGTGCACAGTCAGTGTCGTGACTGCTAAAGTAAATAGAAAACAAGAAAATGGCTCTGTCACCCGGGTGTTTATATCACTGTCAGAGCCGGGGCCAATAGAAGTCTGTGTCTACCGCAGAGACAATTGACCAGGATGCCAATTGTATCCATTCCTATTACGGACAAAAGCCACAATGTTAGTGGGTTTTTTGACCAATAGAAAAGGGGATTTATTCTCAACAGTTCCCTAAAAAGCTTAATTTATTTAATACAGGAGCCAAGAATAGTTTTGTTGGGACTGTGTATAATTATGCTGAAAAGTGTCAATAGATTGGTTGATGGAGTAAAAATAAATATTTCAGATAATAAGTCTTCCAACACTTTTATCAGACTGTTTCATATTGTTTCTTTTATTATTGTTAGAAAAAATGATACTACACTCTTTTGGCATTTTTAAAAATGCTCAATTAATGTAGAATGTTGGATTCTAAATGTTAATGAATGTTTCCTCCCACAGATGAGGGGCTTGGCAGCAGTGGGAGGCATTACGGCTCCGGTTCGCTGGGCTCTGGTTCGGCCGGCTCCGTGTATCTGTCAGACAGCCAGGACTGGGTGGTTTCCCCGAGCTGCTCTCCAGACGAAGGCTCCGGCCAGAACAACGCCATCTCCCCTTTGCTGGCAGAGGAGACATTCCGCTACATGAGTAAGTGTCAGTTTTAATATTTCAGATTGTTGGAAACAGCGACGTTATGCCTCAGTCTAGCTTTTCTCCATCTGTGTGTGTCTCTACTTTCTTTTGATTGGTCGAGCCTGTGGTGATATTACAGCAGATGAGCAGATGGTGAGTTTGTGTCTCAGTACATTAGACATGTGAGGGATTGATTTTATACAGCGTGCATCCTCTTCAGTTAAAATCACAGGGATTTACTGTGGATGTTATTTGGAACAGGAGTTCAGGAGTCATTGTGTCTATCTGAGTTTGCCTGTGTGTGTGAGACAGCTCTGACACTCACTCACTCACTGTGTGTGTGTGTGTGTGTGTGTGTGTGTGTGTGTGTGTGTGTGTGTGTGTGTGTGTG